GTATTATAAGCATTAACATTCAATATTTTAAATTGATAACAATTATTTATTTATAAGCATTCCAAAACTGTTTCGATCTCGTATTTAGCGCGTTCGAAGCTTCAAAGGAGTAACAATGTCGCCCCGCCCCACGAAGAAAAATGTTAATATTCGCCCCGGCGTGAATGTGTTAATCTTAAAGTGATATAAGTGTGAACTGTTTGTTTGGTTATTGGTTTAAAAATAATAAAATCGTAAAAGTTATTAGGTTCTAGAAAACATGTCTGACGAGATAGCTACGCAATATAAAAGCCAAAAAGTTTTATTAATTCAACTAATCATTTCAGCGATTTCGGTATTTTTGCAAAATGGCATTCTTGTACAACTCATGATAGGGAGGCCATGTTATGGTATTGAAGGGAGCATTAAAAGACTTGCAATGTACGCTAGCTTATAAAGACTGTTAGTAAATTAATTTCTCACTCCTGATGATTTATTTGAGTGGGCAGAATCATCTTTTTCGAACGTAACATTTAATTATGTAATACAAAATGAATATATTAGACATACTGATAGCAGGGTCTAAACTTTTGTTTTCACAGCTTTGCGACATTATCAAATAAAGAAAATAAAGTAGGACTTGCTCGTACGATAATGATGGCTCTGTGCTTAGTGTATGAAATAGTTATCATTTTTTTTTTGACCACTACACACAATGTTTCCCATACTCTTGATCACAACCCACCATTATCCCTTTGCGATAGAAAGAAACCACCACTTTTTCGCTGATTCTATCAAGTAATGATGCCTTTTTTGTAGAATATAAGCAATAAATATAGGAACCAATATCTATAAATGAAGCTATTTAATAAAAAATGTGTGATTCGCCAAAACTAAGTACTAACATACTTTGCTAGGTATGAACAGGGTCATTTAGTCTTCTCGTATTGCTTTGAGACCAGTGGTATAAAAAAATCGATCATAACAGCAAAGCACACGACTCGCCTATTGGAAACGGAAGTATATAAAGGCACATTTTAAAAGGGAAGCTTCAAAGAATATGACTATATTTTTTTTTAGACTCCTTGCGTTCCTTATTGAAAAAAACGCAAAAAAAGAATTTGTATAAATTTTTCGACACTTTATAATAAATTGACAGAGTTAAAAAAAATATTTAAAAATAGCCCAATACACATTAATACAGATTAATGTTGAACAACATTAAGGATTGATCCAAAGCTGCCAATTCTCTATAACGCGAAATTATGTACTACTTTTCAAAGGATGTACATTATATTGACGTCTTACTAGATAAATATTTATATGCCCATTTTTAGGGTTTTCAAGAAAAATAAATTTGGAAATTCAAATTATTGAATAAATTTGGAAATTCAATAATTATTGAATAATAATTATTGAATAATAATTATTGAATAATATAAAGTATTAACTTTATATGATAGTAAACAAATATTTCATAATAGAATAAAGACTGCATAACTGCAACATAATCGGGTCCCAAGCGTTGCAGTTATCGAGTCGAGGTGTCGATTCTTTGTTTACATTTGGCTCGCGCCGACCGGTAAATGTAGGAAAGGACAGGGAGCGAAAGGGGGAGGCTATTTAAAATTAATTTTTTAGAAAAATTCAAATATTTGTGTATTAATTAATTGATTGTAAATGTAGGAAAGGACAGGGAGCGAAAGGGGGAGGCTATTTAAAATTAATTTTTTAGAAAAATTCAAATATTTGTGTATTAATTAATTGATTTTAGGTTGGCAACTGAATTGACGATTTGTTTACATATTTTTCCTTAGGAAGCTCAAATTACATTATAAAGCAACCTAAAATTAGTGACAAATACGGTAAAATATTACTTATTGAAATAATGCTTAACTTCACTAAAAATTCTTATTAGTTTAACTTTAATAATTCATTTTCTAGCAAAAAATGATAGTCTCGAATGTAGTTATTCGCAGAGTGATTATATCAATTTTGGCTGAAAATCGAATTGTGTGACTGTAATAGCTTTGTTGCTCACTTCATAATATTATATCTAGTTTTTATTTTGCTGTTATGCAAAAAGGAAACCAAATTTGGTTAAGTATTACACACTTGCAATTGCGTGTACGGAATATGCCTTATATTCAAAATTGTACAAATAAAAAAAACTATTCAAAAAGTTATTAATTTTAATAATTTTTTGATTTTCTAAGCTTCAATAACGATTTTATAACCTCTTATAATCGAGCATTATAAATTATTTTTAATTGAATTTATAAGCCGTTTTTGCACATAATGAGAAATTAAAATTTGAACAAAAATTATACGTTTTTAAGTTTGGAATTGTATTGTACTTATGCAATAGTAGTTATTCAATCTTTTTTGACATGTAAGAGTTCTATAAACTCTCCTGAACAAAATGATATAAATTATTATTACATTATAAACATCTAAATTTATTTGAATAACAATCGAATTCAAAGCGACACTACAAATGTGCCAATCTTTGCTGACACTTTTTCGGTTTGTATCAGAAATTAGGAGTTTAGGAGAGAATTTAACTATAGCACACAATAGCACAGCATTTGGGCTGAGAAAAACTTGAAGAGAAGGTATAAAATTATGTTTGAATAATATACGGTAATGGAATTGCAAAACATACTCAGTAAACATGACTTTCGATATTTAGAAATACTGTCGTGTATGTGGTCAAATTCTTATAGTTAAACAAAGTTCCATATTTTATAACTTTAATCGTGGGATGAAAACAGATATTTTTATTCTGATTTTATAATATATTCTTATTTGTACAATATAATTATTGTATATTTTGTTACAATGTATTATTTTTTAACAATAACAAATGTAATTACAAATAAAAATTGAGCACCTAAATATAAGTCGAACACTATCTTATGCGAGAAATTGCAATTATTTAATATTTTGTTACTCAAATTTTTTATTTACAACCCTAATTACGTAAAAATCCAGCACTTAGCATGTAAACCGTTGCTTAAGGGGGGCAATACCTTTAGAATCTTGAAAAATTTTTTTTTCTATAAAATGTTAGTATAACATCTTAAAAATATTGTCTCAAAATTTTAAAGTGAAATACGAAGCCCTTTTGAAGTTATGGCCGATTAGCGTCGCGAGTATTCACGCGTTCAGTGCGGAGGACTGAAAGTTTAAACGCGTTTTTCTCAAAACTACATTTTTACAATTGGTGTGGCTGATGACTCAAAAACTAGTTTATCAATCGTGCTCAAATTTTTTGCACATATCCATGACAATAGTATCTAACATATGAAATAAATTGAACATTAAAGTCCTTTTTTATTGCAAAATATTGCAGAAATTTTTAGTAAAATTCAAAGTTTTTCTTTAAAAGCGCGCCATTTTTTTAATTTTACACATTTTGCACATTTCTGAGGTTCATCTACTAACTGTAAATGTTAGTTTTCGAAACATTGTCTGCAAACTTGTTTCAGACCAATATATCTAAAGCTAGAACCGACACCGATTCACGAGACGCGCCCAAACACTTCCAGAAAGGATTGTTACAATTCCGCCATTTTTAAATGTATTTAAAAACAAAAAATATTGTGTAATAGGCAATAATTATAATAAATTATACCTGAAATTTCAAAAACGCAAAACAAAGATATCCTATACAAAAAAAATTCATAAAAATCAGCTTATTTTCATCGGTCTAAAGGTATTGCCCCCCTTAAATTGAAGTCAAGGTTTACATCCAACCACTAACAGAGGCAAAGAACAAAAATACTTAACATACACTTATATTCACACCCGCCTTTTATTTTAGAATATATCGGTAATAATGTTAAATTCATTAAAGCCGAGTCCGTTACATATTTTTAAAAAGATGTTTTTGAGTATAATAATTCGGCCACTGTACTTCGTATCTGTATTGAAAGCGAAACACACGACACGCGGTTAGGTAATTGAAACATGATTTTATATCTTCCTTTGACAGAAATGTTGTTCTGTTATGTACTATAGTTAGATTTCCTCTTAAACGCCTAGTTCCTGAAATAATCTGAACAACCATCAAAAAAGATTGGCACGTTTTAGTTGTCCCTTTCAATTTGATCGTTACTTAAATAAATTTAGATGTTCATAATGTAATTGTAATTTTTATTATTTTATTCAGAAGACTTTATTATTTTCTTTTATTATAGAATTGTTTTGTGTCAAAAAAGACTGAATATTTGTTACTGCAAAAGTACGAAACATTTTTAAAGTTGAAAATGTACAATTTTTGTTTAAAGTTAAATTTCTCAAAAATTGTGTGCACCACTAAAAACACTCTACTTCATATCTAACAGATAAGAATCACTTATCGAAAGTTACAAAATCGTTTAAGGTTAATAATCTTTCAAACAGTTTTATAGGTGTACAATTTTGAGTGTGAGCCATGTTTTGTATAAGACGCTGCAATTATTCATTTTAGCTTAGATACTTGACACAATTTAGTTTTATATTTAAACACTTAAATTTATTTACATAAAATTTACTTTTTACATTTTCTTTTAAATATGACATACATGGAATATTATAAAGCACGTAACAAAACTGTTACATTCGTGCAGTTCAATGTTTAGCCAAAATTACAAAGCTAAATGCAGCGTTCGATTTTTACTATGAATGGTTGCTAATTACAAACTCAAGAGAAGTTGCTGAATGGAATCTTAAATAAATAATGATAACGTAAAAATCTCCGTATGCAACTTCTATAACCATACAAAGCATTGAGATTGCTTAACTGTGCACTAACAGCCTAATAAATTAACAAACATCCGTTAAAGACTCAAAGGCTCCGCCAGTTAACTGTCAACGTGACTCTATTCTGTTACGAAACCAACTGAGCAAGGTTTTTGCTCATTTCCAATTGTCACAGAAAAAGGGAAATCTCGACCGTAATCGTGACAGTCACTAGGATCACGGCACGATATTTGTTAAAACGATAAATTCTAATAAAAACGTTTCTGGATACTCACGGGCACAGCATTTCCTTCAGAGTTGGTTGAAGTACGACGAATCAATAAGGAACAATCGACGATTAAGGAGCAACTTTCACGAGCCTAACCAAATACCGATGATTTCATGTACAATCGAGATATACACTTGGTTGGCAAACTCTCGCCAAGTGATGTCGAATAGGCTGATACGCTAACTTTTATGCAAGGTCCCCACTCTATCCTGCGGTGTTTCCCTGACTCCGAACGACATTACGCGCAACGGACTTGTTCTGTTGCTTGCATTGACGGAGTCATCCTCGCGCATTGTAATAGCAGTCTTACCCTTTGTGGTTTTGTTTTCTTTCCTTGCCACAATACATAGTGTAGCGGACCTTCAATCTATCTGGACAAAAGTCTTTGTGATGACCCTTGCAGGACTTTCCAATTTTTATTACTAGTTATTGTGAAAAGTCTAAAACAAGGGAAACCATATTTATAAATTCATTTTATGGATGTACGCTCAAGAATAAATCTAATGTCATTATGAAAAATATTGCAACTAAATCTAAATCTATTTGTGAATATGGAAATATAAAAATTTGGATACGTAGGACTTTAAGGATCAACAAGGATCAAGAAATCCATATACTTGGATTCCTCAATTCCAAGGTAGCCAAATTTAGTCTCAGTGATTTTAGATTCCAAATTTTTAGACCTTCATTAGGATTTTAAATCTTTAAATCGTCTTGGAATTTTCAATTCTTTAGATCTTAAAATTTCCAAATTTCTCGATCACCAAATGCCTTAATGCACAATTCCCTCGATCTTCGAAATTCAGATTTACCAAATACATATGTCCGTAAATTGTTTGACTGTTATATTTCTAGATTCCCAAATTCCTATGTCTCCGAATACGTAAATCTTCAAATACCAAAATTCCTGAAACATTAAGCCATATAGAAATTTTGAAATCTTCAAGCAACGAGCGAAACGCGTTTTTCCCTCAGCGTATTGTTCTTAAAATTTTATGTTGTAGAAATCTGTAAATTTGAAGATCATAGAAATGCGGATATCGAGAGTTGAAAATTTGAAAGCGTGTGAATTTGAGATTTAAAAAATGTGGGAATATGAAAATTTGTACGTTTGTAAGTTTAGAAGTTTTTTAGATTTGAAAATTTACTAATTTGATAATATTATACATAATTTATAAATATTAAATAAGAGGTATACGAAATACTATATCCTACACATATAGTATCTCTCGTCACATAAAGAATATTAGGTCCACATAGGTTGTAATCTAAATAGTTACGGCCAAATCTAATGTAAATTTAATTTAAATAACAGATTTAATTTTGTTAAAGTATAAAAATTGTATGCATTTTGGATTTCTTTGGAGGTCTTATATTCTGAATCACATTAGTAGTAGGTACATTTTAGCAGCATTCATACGATCTATAATAAGGTTATCATTGTGCTAAATGTTAAAAGTTCAATCAAATATTTAAAAATGTCTATCACAAAGGTTAACGTATTGTTGTGTGTGACATCGTCGTAGATTTTGATTTTCTTTTAAATTAATTTGTTATTATGTGCATATAACGGAAAAAATAATGCAAATTGTCTGTCAGATTCTAACGGTCTTTAAAAAAATAAAATGCTGCCTAAATTATTGTTGATACCTGATATCTTTATACATATTGGTTAAATTTTTCTTAGCGGGATATACTTTAATTATTTACGGTAGGAAAGTTCTGAAGTGAAAAACAATAAGCATTTTCAAAGACGTCTTTGGCATTTCGAGTAGTCACGTGGAAGATTAACAAAGTAATAAATAGTATCGGTTTTCGAACAGTTTAGACTGAGTACTTTAATTAAGTAGATCAGTTTCTGTAGAGGTACAGGTTTTAATTGTATATTACGAACAAAGTTGTAAATCACAAAATGTTATGTCCGTATTAGTTTGGGCTATAATATACTGCTAACAAATAATTTTCAAAGGATTCATTGATGTAAATACGTTGTACTTTATATCATTTGTGACTTTGCATTTTAATTTTTGTATAATTTTTACAATTGTTATTTTGAATATTTTGGAAAAAGTACTTTATTTAAAAAATGTTACGAATAATTTGGACGAATTGATATATTTTTTTAAAAAAAGAGTCAAAATTTAGATATCGCTACACGACAATGCAGACGAAGATAAAAGTATGCCAGTGTAATGACAACTCGCTCAGGCGGTATTTTATTCTTTTGAAGATTGTTGGGATTCAACTATTGATTTTTATTATTTTTCCCGTTATAAAAGATAAATGTCACATTGGTGAAACGATTAAAGAAGTAGTTAAGATAATTGCAATTTCTTAATTAAGACAATTGCTATTTCTTTTCTATTTAGACAATATAAAATTATAAATAAATACGTATATGCCAAAAGGTAAAATTTCAACTTTCAAATAATATAATGAGAAAATATTTTAATTATAATAAATTCTTTATTGCTGTATAATAAAAGAAAATAAAAATGTTAAAAGTCTATTATACATACCTACAATTTTAGATCATGTTGATATTACAACGAGTTTTTGAATAAGTAGAATTAAATTTTTATGTAGGTATTATTAACATAAATGTATAGAATACAAAACATGCTTATTTTAATACAATAAATATTAATAATATTAACAATATTTAATAAATATACGCTATAATAAATTAATCAACAGATCATCAAATCTATGAGGGCGTTATGCGTTAGATTTATTCAAACAAACGTTAAAATCATTAATGATATGCACAGGATGACTTTATTATTTTTTCCACCTTCTTGGTAGTACAGAGAAATGCAAGACTCTATTAAATTCGATTATAGTCGATTTGACTGCCTCGAGCTTCGTAAAATTTATCCCGACCTCAGTTCAGTTTGGCGACATAATAATATGTTCATGGAGGCATTATCTTGGCCGTAATTGATCCTTCAAGTTGAACTTATAAACACAAGGTGAAGGAAGACGAGCACAAACCTTGAGTCGATACATTGCACCAAACAAATACGCGGACACAAATTTCGAGTTTTTGCAAGGTCTTATGATTCCATTTTGATTGCTTGTCTCTAGTCGAAACTAACAACCCAGTTGTTTAGTATTAATAACTGTCGATTCAGCCATCCGAGACCAGTTTTTTACATTCCCGATTCGTAGGATCTAAGTGTCCTTGTCCGGTTATACGGTAACGTCCTCCGATTTCTTTTCCAACGAGTGGTTTCACGGTGTATTTCTACGTGAACGTGTCATCCTCGATCGTGCTCGTTTCAAGGGCTCTTCTTACGGGAATTGAATAAAAAATTGCGAAGTAATACACCGGTTGCATTTATTCAGGGTTGTATTGTTCGTTTAGAAAGAGATAGTGAGCTTCCGAATCTTGTACGAAAAAACTTTGTGCTTAAACTTGGCAATTAAGTAGATAAACTATGTGAAAAATAAGGGTTAAGATTACAATATTAATTATTTTACTACGTGCTATTCGAAATAATTATATATGTATTTATCCATTCTTTTTCCATTCTTTTGTTTTATATTATACTGTCATTCGGATTTCAAATGAAATAATTTCGTCTTTTGTTTTTCATTTGATCAAATACTTACTCTTCAACTATTTAAATAATTTTTCGAACACTTCAAATCAGTTCTGATAGTCGAAATTATAAGTTCACTACATCTTTAGGTAGCTTACTGTTATAAATTGTATTATGGCTTCTTTTCCTTCATAGTATCGCATAACAATGCAAGAAGAGCAATTCTGTGAGAAGAGATTTTGACATACATAATAAATTATCTGTTTTCTTGAAAAATACAATTTATAGGTAGGATAATAATGTACATTCACTTAGAAAAACTATTTATTTTTTAAGCAAATTATTGATAGAGAATGATTTAATTAAAACAAAAATTGTTTTTAATAACTAGTTACTGCTGCATTACTTAATTAATTTAAAAATCTTGATTTTAACGCTGATAATAACATTTGAATCGCTTTTAGTTGTTCTTTTTTTTAAACTTAAGGATTCGGGGAATTGTGATCTGAGGAATTTGAGAATCTGAACTTCAGAGGTTTTAGAAGTTGTAGAATTTGGAAATGCAGGATTTTACAGACTTAGAAATTCAGAAATTTGACAATTTTGGAATTGGAAAATATGAAAAATTGGAATTTTAGAATTTTGTAATTGACAATTTATGGAGTATTGGAGATTTGAAAATTAAAGATTATAAAATACAACTGATAATTTGGAAACTTGAGCAGCTAATAATTTAGGAATTTAAGAGTCGGGAATTTGGAAAAATAAATATTAAAAATTTTATATTATGGACATTTGAAAATTGGGAATTAGAAATTCAATTATTATGAATTAGGGAAATTTTAAATTTTGGAAGCTGTAAAAATTTCAGATTTGAAACTGTAGAGATTTGGATTTAAATATAAACTATGAATAAATATTTGTTGATATAGTCTGCATTTAGTTTAGTTTTTTGGAAATGATAAAATAATTATATTTAGTGCAGGTAATGTGATAGTATGAGTAGTTTTCGGTGCATCTGAGAAATTCCAAATTATATATAATGGATAGTGAAAAACAAAAAAAATTTATAATTGCATTCTGTCCATTATCTTTAAAGAAAATGATGAAATATTACTCTCACTGTATACAAGATAATAGTTCTGATTGCCGCAGTAAAAGCCCACGACTATTCACATTTCAAAATAGCCAATGCTTTCTCTGAATTTAAATTTTATTGTAACTATATAGAAGAATGTTAGTGAGTCAAATCTAAAAAAAAGAAAACAAAAAAAGAATCGACTGTTAAATAATTAAAAACCGGTTTTGTTAGTATGTGGGAAGAAATGGTTAAAAATTTACTTGAAAAAATATCTTTCATGTATGATAACTGTTTGAAATAATTATGTCGATGTTTTACATCTAAGTATAAATATAAAAGTAATCATTGTATATGAAATTTTTAGTTAAATAATATTAAAAGAGTAGTAGTGTTCGTCTTATATCTGGATGGTCAATAACCCGGGAATGGTCTTATGTAATTGTATATCCTTGTGAAATCAGCAAATCAACAAATATAGTATTTTTCATAAAAAAGCAATAAGTCGTTGTGTTTATGAAATTTCGAAATCTGTTCTCATAACATTCTTTTTCTTGCATTCTTTCTTGCATACTGCAAAAGGAAACAGTAATGGTATTATTCATAATAGCTAACTAGCTAGCTAGCTAAAAATGCAATCAATTTAT